ACCTATAAAAGGCCCTTTTCTCTCCTTCCCAATTGTGTTTCATTCTGTGTTTTCATTTAAATGTCTTACTTGCCAAACCTCTCAAGCTTATTTTAAAACCCATTTCACTGCTTTAAAAATCCTCCTTGTAATTCTTTATTCTAAATTATGCATGTCTACTTAAACATGTTAAACAACTTTTAAAAAATCTGTTTCGATCATTACCCGGTTTGTTCTCAACAAGGAAACTTCTAGAATTGTTTATCTAAGAATCTTCTTTTTCCTCTTATCACTCTAACTTGTATATCTATTCTCCCAATTCTGTGTTGCAAAAGGCATAGGAATCAACTGAGAAAAAAACTAAATTCTCATTAGATAGTAGAATTGAATAATACGTTCTTAAAAGGAAGATGGAGGAAGACTGGAAATACTGGTAGAAAAACTATGGTCCCCATTATTATTTCAGTTTTTATTGGTCTATTGGATTCTGTGGTCTTTTAAAAATTTCACTCTTATTGGACCTAATAAAAAAAGACTTAAACTTAGTAAATGCTCAAATTTTATTTCCTAGACAAATTTGATGATTTGTTGAATTGTATTTAGGACCATCTGAGAAGGCAGAATCAGTTTAAGTTGTCATTCTTTAGCTATAGCTATTTTTTTTTTTTACACTTAAAACTTCATGGTTATATATTGGCTTGTGAATTTCAAAGAGGATGTGGGATAAAGAAAATCTCAGAAATTCAACAGGACAGTCATAATAGTCACACCATCCTACTCAAGCAATGTGTAAAATGAATCATGGCAGCCAAAGTTTAAACATTTTCTATTAGTAGTAACCTACATCATCACCTTTGTCAATCTTTTTCTTAGTTTCAGAGTCCAAAGTTCACAGTACTTCTTTAGTCTTGTTAGATCTCCAAAGTTAATTTTATTACCAGTGTTTTTTTAAAAAGATAACACTATTCAGGAAAAAGTCTTTAAGGTTCTATACATGTATATCAGTGAGCTTTCTTTCTTGAATATATAAAAATGTGTTTCGTAATCCCTTTCTACTATTGTTTCCCCTTTTTTTTCTGTGAATTTCTGACACTGAGGTTTATTATGTTGTTGTTAGAACTCTCATTTCTTTAGGCTGTTTGAGTGCATTTCTGTAAGGCATATTCTCAGAAACTCCAGTGAACTTTTGTTCAAGGCCTGCAAGATCCTTCCTGGAGATCTTCCTCCCTGAACAAAGTACTGCTTAGGCCAAGAGAGTAAGATATAACCCCCTTTTGGCTCATCTTAATTCCGGCAAACTGAAGATAATTCCTGCCACAAAATTCCCAGAAATACCTTTACCAAAAACATTATTTAGCTGGATGGCTTACCTTAATTTGCCCATCTAGTTATGTGTTGTCCTACTGGTCATCTCATTTATTTATGTCTTATCAAATCTTTGTGTGTGTGTGTGTGTGTGTGTGTGTGTGTATGTATGTATGTATAAATGCAGCACACCAGTTTGTGATACAAATTTTAAAAGTTACTCTTGTATAAACTAAAAAAAAAGGTGACAGGAATTGAGTTTTTATCCTCTGCAATGCAATATTCTTGAGACTTCACTATTTTCAACCATCATTTTTTTCTCTGAATTGCATTTTCCCTAATTGATCTGTGTAGATTCTGTCTCTTAACTTCATTATGTATGAGCTTCAAGAGGGCAGATATTATTTATTTACAAACATCTGCTTATGTTTTTACTGATTAGCAGTAACCTACATAGATAAATATAGATAAACCATAAGGATACAAAGATGAATAAAAGGGGGTTAATGCCCTCAAAAAGCTCACACTTGAGGTGGAGAGATATGCATGCAAATAAACAGCTATGATATAGAGATCCATTTGCAGATAAATTGTTAGAGAGCAAGGAGTATACAGCAGCTGATTTCCTACGGTAGCACTTAGGAATGGAGATGGGTCAGAAAGACTCTACCAAAAAGGATGAAATGAGGCTTAGTCTGAAAGGACCAATGAGACTTTGCCCACAGGCATGAAGCACATTTTAGGAACAGGATACAAGCTACACAGAGCAAGAAGTTATACACAAATACGTTGTGGTACTTATACTGTAAAATTTTGAAGGATTTTTTAATTAGGAGAGATACATGATCAAAATCATGTATCAGAGCAATACATCTGGTGGCAAGATGGCTAGAAAGAGTGCTGGAGGAGGCAGGTCATACTGAGCAGGTCTTTGCATTATAATAGGTAAGTAAGGATTTAAAGGGTTGGAGTGCAGATAAAAAGAAGTGAGCAGTTTCAATAGTGAAGAATTAGAATTGATTGACCAAAAAAACCAACAAACACACAAATCAGGGGAAGAGGTAAGAGCTAAAAGGGCTCCAAGAATTTTGATTTAAGGTCAGTGGAAAATCAGTGCTACCGTGATCTGAAATCTGCAGCATATGAGGAAAAGCGGGTTTGAAAATGGGATCATGCACTGGATGTAATATTAGAACACTGAATTTTAAGATTCTTTGAGCAATCCATGTTCAACTGTCCAATAGGTCAGGTAATGAGGAGTGACTCCTGGGCTAGAGATCAAGATATGAAATTCACCATAGGAATGTAGTTGCTGATGTGAGAATGGAGGAAGTCATCTGGAGAGAGAGATTAGAGAAGAGGAATGAGAATGGGAACCCAGGGAGCCACGAAATTTAGTGGGGAGGCAGACAAGGAGGACCCAGTCTTAGATGAGTGAGGAGGTGGCAGAGAGAAAACAGCAAGAAATCACTAAATAAAAACACCTGGAAGAAAAAGCAAGGCAAATGAAGCATTTCAAAATCATTCCATGGTGAACCAGATTAAATGTCATTGAGTAAGCTAATAAAATATACAAAAATAATCCACTCTATTTGGAGTAGATATATTTGTTTAGGTATAATTCAGAGAAGTAGAGCAAGACTGGGATTTTACACACATATGGCTGCTGTTGAGAGAAACAAGTGATATCATTAACATGTATCCAAGAGTAGAATGGAACACAGAACTTTACAACATCACAAGATAATCTTGTTCATCTATGAATGTCTAGGCTCTGTGTTGGTGGCCAGATACGTGACAACCACTCCTATAAAGTAATGAGCACTCTAGGATTTGAGCACATAGCAAGCAAACATTATGGGGAGATTGTGGTCATAGAGTAAGGACATATCCATATATTATGGAAGTTCTATCCTAGAGAGAAAGCTGACTTTTTCTTGATATATGTCGATTCTATATAGTTGAAAAAGACTTTATTATGCAGTGATACCCTATCATACTAGTATCAACTGAAAATATAAAAACGTTAAGTTTTATTTTAGGTTAATCTAAGTCCTCTGAATCATCATCATCTGTTAATTTCCACATTGGTCAGAAATTCAATGACAATGACAGAGATGATGAGCTACTAAAGAAGTCATTGATAATGAGAAAAATTTTACTGGAAGCCAAATTGCAAAAGAATAAGAAATAAGGAGGAGAAGAAGCATGAAAATAAGGAGTATACATTACTATTTTGAGAATCATAAGTAATGAAGCAAACAGGAAATTGAAAACTTGAGCACATTTGTGAAAAAGGGTAAAGTCAGTAAAGAAAAAGGGATAATTAATAGACATCCTGTTAGAGTCAGAATAAAATTGTTTAAAAATATCAGATGAAGGAATAAATCTTAGCCAGAAAGTGGGACGATTCCTCTGTGCCCACGGACATGAAAAGAGAGAGCTGTGCAGCACTTATGTCTAGACTGAGGTTGCAAACAATGAATAAGCATTGTTTTAACTTTTTACAGTCATCCAGAAGACAAGTAAAGAGAAGCAAGATGGCCTAATTGATTTTGATGGGGCAGAGATGGTAGAAAGGCAAGAAAATGTGGAACCTGAGGAGCATCTAGGAGAAGGATGAACAATGGAGTCCAGACCAGTAGGAAAGTTGCTGAGGAAGCATCCATGCTAACCCAATGAGAAAGAAGATGTGGTGCAAATTAGAAAGTTAATAGGTTATAGTCATATAATTTTGCTAATTTTGACTTTAGTATTAAAGATGAAAAAGCTCCCGAATCCCCACACCTGAATTAGACAGACACAAGAAATATACACTGAGTGGCGACACTAGAGGCTCTACAACTTATTTCACTGGCTAGTATTTTCTTGGTCCCAAATCCCTATGTGGTGTTTTATCCTTGTGAGCTGAGTAAGATGAACTTAAATCTTTACATCTCCTTTGCTCTTTGGACTGAAGAACTTGCCTGGATTCAGGTTGAGTGCTGTTTGATGCCTACTTTCTCCCGAGCTCCACCTTGGTCTCTGTTTGGTCATTACTGCCTGTGTTTGACAAAAATAAAATGATGGAAAGAGAGAAACACTAAGATAAAAGAAGAGCTCTCTTTGCTTCTTTACCCTAAAATATTACCCTTAATGCAGTAAAACCATGGATGTCTGTGAGGATTGCATTTTGTTCCTGACTCATTTCAAAGCCTTGCGGTGGAGTGGGCAGGGTGGGTATATCAGGAATCCTTGAACTTCTAGATCACTGATTCTAAAGTGGTGGGGGTGAAGTGGGTGGAAAAAAGGTATCAGAGTCATGTAGAAAGTTATTTTAAGAGAAAGAGTGTTTGTGTATGAATGTATCCATGTGGGGGGTGGGTAGAGGGTAGGTGCTGTAAAAACTTTCCAAGAATTCTGATAAACACCTGTCTTTCTCCTGACTGAAAGTCATCTTCCTACAGATGAGCAAGTAAGAACCATAGGCATGGTATTGGGGGTTAAGATCTAGGAGGTGGGATGGTTCTGGCAGATGACAAAGACCAGGAAGTGGACTACTCGAGTGGAATGGAGTTGAAAATGATTAGAATAAAGACCAGGAAAGAGTGAAGCTAGAGTCCTGGGTTTGTCCACTGCAAGATGACTGAGGTATAGAATTTCTCCTTTATCACCTGCAGCACTCTCTAGCACCAAATACATAGTGTGAATTCAATAAATACTCTTAATAGACTGTGTACATTTCAGAAAAATGTGTTACTTTTAATTACCAATTATGTGAGCATGCAACATTGCTAAATACAAAAGTCATACAAGCTCACAAATGACTTCAGAGACTGCCACTCTTGTAATTAAAGAACAATTTAGGGTCTATTAAGACATCATGAATTATAGATCCTTTCCTATTTTCACTTGATGACTACACATTTTCTCCCTACTACTACTGCTACTACAAGTTTCACTTAGAAGCTTTGCTGCCCGGCAGTTACATTTCTTTATCCATTATAATTTCCCTGAAGAGAAATAGCAGTATCATTCATCTTCTAAAATGGTGCATTGCCACTGTATCTAAGTAAGACTCAAGTATAGGGCATTTACCATTGACTGTTCTGGGAGTATTATCTAAGAATCAAATTTCAATGTCTGTTATTTATTGGAAAAACATTTCTATGAATTTATGATTAACAATATGTTGGCATAGGATGATTACAATTGATAAAAGGTAAATTTAACAATTTCATGCTTGTTGCAAATAAGTCAAAAAGCCAAAGTCCCCATGTTTGTTGGTAATTAAACAAAATGGGTAGCATGAAGCATAAAAAATATGAATCATGCTGTTTTTATAGACCACATGCCAGAAAAATAACTTCTGGGAAACATACCCCCAAATAAGACATAATTGAATTTCTTTTTTTAAAAAAAGATATACTTTGTGTGACCTACTCATGTCTGTGTTATTATCCATCCAGGGAGCTTTGAGAAAGGCAATTTCTCCTTCTGGGATGGCGGCTGAAGAAGTTCATCTCTAAAAGTTCCCTTAGAGCTCTGCAGTTGGCTCTAATTTTATGACATGTGCACTGGAAAGCTCATTGTTGACAAACGTGGGTACTAATCCTAAATTCATCACTTACCAGCTCTTTAAGCTTCTAAAGGTTATATTTTATTGAGTGCTTATATTTTAATCTGTGAAACTGGATGAAAATACCACTCTAATAGAATTGTTTGAGGATCAAATGGGAGAAGACGAGCTGCAAAGCCATTAGCATAGGAATAGTTGGTTAATAGGCATCCAATGCCTATTACCAAACCCAAGGCCTTGGTTTCCTACCCTTTTCTTCGCTCTTTAAAAATTCAGATCCATGTGTATTCTTGACTTGCAAATAAAGGAAACTAAAATAAAATTTGAAAGATACCATGAATAAGCAAAATGTATAGGATGTGCACATTTTGGAAAAATAATTTGTATCTCCCTAGCTTGGGAATACCTTTGGTTTTGAATATAGCAGACAAAGCAGTAGTAAGAAGTCAAACTAAATCCAAAGCTCCATATGACTTTGCAATTTAGCACTATTTATATATTTAAAGACAAGCATGGCACCACATGCATTAATAATAGTATATCACATAGGAATATAAACTCTCCACATACACTCAGCACTGGTTCTAAACTTTTCGAAATCACATAAAATCAGTTTGGAATTTCACAACCTTAAGAAATAAGTTTAAATTCACAAGAAACTTATTAAAATATTAAATGAAGATACTGAAAACTGACTGTAGGGGTTCGATGGTTTAAACAGTTTACCAGGGATTGCCTAAAGTAACCCTAGGAACCTCTTTTCTCACTTGTGAGTCTATTAATAGGTGATGTGTTTGAATTTTACTGGGCATTTTGGCCCCTGATGGATTAGACAGAAGGAAGCATTCCAAAATTTAATCTTTCCTCTTTCTGCTCTCGGAAAGGCTCACATTATTAACTTTTTTTCTAGTAATATCTGATTGAGTACTAAATGCAACCCATGCCCTTATTCCAGTCAGTTGAAATGTTCTGTAGAAGGAGAAGTGAGCAGACTTACCTTTTATCCTGTATGTAATTACATAGGAGGGCTGAGTTTCTGGCACAACCACACAAATTACCTATTGAAATGCTGCTCTAACTACTTCATGTGGAATGGTATCTAAGCCCTCAAGGACAGCTAAGTGGGCTTATTATTGTAAAGGGACTCCCATTGTCTGCTATTTGTCCAGTAATTCATGAACCACTGGCATATTACTGGTTCCTTATTTATTACCACTGACAAATGATTTCATAATACTGACCAGAGGGATTACACAGCTCACAAAAACTTTCCATATAAGAAGCACGATGTTAAAACACAGCAGAGGCCATCAAACACAGTATTAATGAGAATTTTGTTAGCTTCTAATGATAATCATTATTGTATCAGAATGCAATTCACACTAATTATTAGTAAAAGTTTACAAACATTAAAAAGTGCATAATAACATTTGGATCTGAGAGGGCTGAAAAAAGACATGAAAACACAACACCAGGGCTTTAATTTTGTGATTGGTGTCCACATGATTGCAAGATTACTTTCTCCACCTTATTCAGCTCAGTGAAGATAAGTTGTCCTCCAAATTTAAATAGTATCATACAGCATTGTGAGAAATTTGATTCCATAGAACAAATTATTTCCAGTCCTTAGTATGATCTTGGCTTTTCTTTTCTACCTTTCCAATTGTCCAAAATTCTCATAAATTTATGTATATATATATAAGGTGGGAGAAGTTCTCCACTTGAGAATAAAACAAACTTGATAGATTGAATACCAGTCTGTGCAGACACCAAACAGACTGAATTCAGGTGATATTCACATTAATGGATATTTTCAAATGTCTGTATAATAGAGCAATGGAGTCTTGATGAATCTGTTAGACTTAATCAACTCATCAACATACAATGAACAAGGGGAAAGACTGTGTTTTAAAAAAGGGTGTTCTATCCTGTGTACACCACCACAGTATGGAAAACTAAAATAAAAAGACAGCCCTTTTAAAAATGAGTGGTATAAAAATTCACAGTAATGCACATCATTTTGTTTTTCATAAGCAATCAGAGAAGGGGGCAGTGCTGAGCATCTATATTGTACAATACAAAACAGTGTAAATAACACAGCAGTAACACACAGATACATAATGCTAAAAACAGTGCTTTCTGGATCTTTCTTTTACTGGGTGAACACTTGAGCCAGAGATATTTAAACTCTGGGGTTCAATCAACCCTTCGCAATTAGACACAATTAAATCCTCTGACATTGTGAGGGGCCAGATGCTACAGGAAGAATCATCATCTAGGTCGGTGCTACTCTCTATAAGCATTTCGTCACATGATCAAGTGAAAGGATCCATACAAAAATGACGCCCAAACACAAGCCACATGATTTCAACCATTGCTAATGACAGAGGTAGGGAAAAGTCTGCCTGCAGCCACAGCCTCTGCCCTCATTTTTAACATGATAATGAGCAGGTTCCTGCAATGCAGCACAGCCATTTTCTTTTTCCTCTTTTCACTCATGGAAACAAATGCATTCCAGACACTCCTGGAGATTTGAGACATTGTCAGGTGTGGTCGAGGGTCAAAGTGGGGTGTTAGCTTTCAGATTTTGCTGTTTCTCCCTGGGCTTCCCCACTTTGTTCAGTAGAACTTCGTTGTGCATCTTCTTCACCTTCTGCAAAAGAAAAACAAAAACGGAATACAGGCAAAATGAAAATGATTGCTTTTATTTCCAACTCTCAGTATGTCATATTGGTAACTTCAGAAATACTAAAGAGGTCCGAAACCCTTGAAGGAAAAAGTATATTTTCTTGGTAGTCAGTTCGCCACTGGAGTTTTCAAGGACTGATCAATTCTGTGAACTTGGGACAGCATGGCTCAAAAACAAAATAATATTCAAATTTGCAGAGTAGTTAGTGATCAGCTAAGCTTTGGATAAATAGCTCAGAAATCTCATGACCAGGTCATGTCACTTAGATATAGTTTCACAGGTTGCAGAAATCAGAAATGTCTTTAAGTAGAAATCAGAAGTGAGAGCATGTTTACCTTTTTATGCCTGATTATCTTATTTGAAGAAATATTTTAAAACTGTATTTTCTCCTTTTTATAGCACTTGATGATAACCCAGCTAATTTCTCAGAGGTTCTATTAGTTCAAAGTAAAAGCAATAGTGGAAAATGAAAGGACACTATGTCAGCTGGCCAGTCCCTTGTCAAATAGTTATAACGGCCTCTGGTCTGCCCTTAGAGAACATGTGCACAATTCTAATAAAACCAGCCTCATAACTGCACCCTCAGTAGCAATCTTAGCCAGTGGTATAGCAAACATTTCAATGCTTTCACTCTATATTAGGTCACGTTATATAAGTACAAGCTGTTGGCAATTCCAGACTCAAAGATTCAAATATCTGCATGCGACATTTGGTTATCAGGCAGCCAATATGACTTGGTGGACAAAATGTTTTCAGGTGTTGCAATAATATAAACGAATCAATATTTGGTAAGGGTTTGTTATCATAATTCAGATAAAAGCAGGTAAGTGGGCTGGTCTATTCTTTGGACCATAATGTTATAAGGCAGTTTCTCCTCCACTCTTAGCAAGTGCACACGAAGCACCTCACCATACTCCAACAACATTAAATCTTTAGGAAAATTAAAATCAATTCTTCTACATAAAAATATTTTCTTGTAAAGCAGTACCAAGGGTATGACCAGACATTATATATCATTTTCATGCACTATTTTATTATGAGAGGCCCCCATGATGCACAGATGGCCTGGTTCTGAGATATGTAAATTAGCATGCAACAAGAACTTAAACAGGAGAAGCTTTTGGTAACCAAAGAAATGAAGTCAAATTAGGGCATCTCTAAGACAGTAGAATATTTCAAGATGAAAGTGATTGTATAAATACAAGATGAGGAACTTGACTTCCATGGGGCTTGGGACCTTCTAGGTGTCTGGGGACACTTCTCAGGGCTTAGCATTATGCTGCAAACATAGAGACTGTTGCTAAACAGATGCTTATTAACAAATAAAGGTAAACATGAAGCAACAATATTGTTGAGTATAAACTAAAATGAAGCTGAAACATTTATGAATTAGAAAGGAAATTCTTCACAATTCTTAGTGACATTGAATTTGTCGTTATGTATTTGTCATTTTTTAATATTTTAGATCTTCATGTTATGCAGTTATTAGTTTTTGTACTTAGGATAAACAGAGTTATTGCTTTGTATACTTTTCCTGGTTTTGGACTTCATAATTTTAAGAGAAACAGCAAATGTTGCAAGAGCCTAGTGAACTGCAATTAACATGCAAAAATATTTAGAAAAGAAGACATTTGGAAGTATAAAGATAATTTAAATTAATTATAATATAATGAATATAAAATTATTTTATTTATATTTATTAATATAAAATTCCAATGTATTATTTAAATAATTTATAATAATTTAATATGTTTTCAGGAAAATAAAATGGTCTTAGGACTAACAATTCTCAACTTCAGGAAAAATAGAAAAAGAAGAAATTAAATTACACTATGAATAAAAATGTCCTAATATTAAGAGTGGCTAAAATTAATGCAGACTCTTTAAAATAGCATATGTGTATGAAAAACAAAGTATAAATATTATGCAAGACTGCAGCAAAAATGTATTTATCCATCTCATGTTACCAAATTGGAATAATTTCCTATACAGTCTTTCTCAGAGCTGTTCTGGGAAGTAACTACTGGTAGCAATAATAGCACAACAATGAAACCTAAGATACACACAGGTCTATGTATTCCAAAGTGGTAACGTTAAAGTTTTATTATTAATCCAAATTTGAAAAGACCAGTCTGAGAAGTACTGAGCTTTAGCCATTGAATAAAATACCGTCCTTATGTATTTTAAAGTAATGTTGCTGAGCTGTTTCATTAATCTATATATGCATATACTCTGACTCAGTTTTCTAATAATCTAAATGTTTTCCCTTAAAAATTCTAACAGCGAAGACATATTGAATAATTAAGAGTCAGAAATTGTGATAAGTGCTTTCCATGCACATAATATCAGGGTCCCCTAATCGTGAATTCTTTTCACTTTTAAAGGTTATTTTTACACAAGTCTTCTCAGGGAAACACATTCAGCTTTGATATCTGCAAAAGCTACGGGTGGAGGAACTGTCAGGGAACTTATTCTAATACTCAGAAGTAAAACTGTCAAGTATTTTAATCCATCAAACTTGTTTTTCTTCTTCATTAATGAAGGCAGACTCCTTGGGTAAGAATTCAAGGCCCAGTAAGGAGACACATTTTTCACAAACCCATTCTATCTGGAATGGGAAATCAAAGACCCTTTTACCTAAGACTTACTAATGTAACAGATCATTTTACTTCCATTCTTAATAAAATTAGCCCTGGAGACTCTTTTTTTTCTAAAATTGTTCTTAGAATTGAAGTCTATCAGAATTACCTGTGAATCTTGTTAACTATCTATCTAGTAAATGTTAGAGGTGGCCAATATTGTCAAAGGTAGGTGCTCCAACTTAGTTAAATACTGTACATAAGCAATTTCAGCTTTTGTAGAAATTAGGCTTTAAAAAAACACACCATGTGTTTTATTGATTGCATTAATAAAATCAGATTAAGGACTCTGCATTTAAGTGAGAAGCCTTCTAAAGAGACATCACTGAAAATAGAGCAGGATTGATTAAGAGATTAGTCTCAGACTTTCATCTTGCCTTAGATTGTTTAAAACTCTTTATATTAGATTACTTTCAAAGATGACTTTGGTGCCTCAATCCCACTTAGTAAAATGCTGCAAATCATTCCATGCTCACAGAGAAATGTGTGCCAGATGACTTACCTGTCTTGTTGATATCAAGACCTGCTAATTTCAAGGCTAATTCATTGCTGTTGCCACTTGCAGAGGAAACCAGGATATCATGTATTGCATTTCTTCTACCTGTTCTTCCTGAGGCAATAAAATCTGCATATGTAGTTTCCACATCAGTCATTGCTACCAAATATCCACATAGCAGGGACTACAAAAGAAAGTAAAATTAACAGGTAAATATAATGGTAGTCAATGCTAAACATTTAACAAAGACAACTGTTAAACTACCAACCTAGTATATGAATGTGAAACAACTGTCCTGTTTGCAGGTTCACAAAACAAGTAATGCCTTTTCTGATCCTAAATATTTAAATCAAAGGTCTGGGAACCTTTAATGTACAGGGCCTGGTAGTACATATTTAGGGTCACATGATCTCTATTCCAACTACTCAACTTTGTCCTTACAGTAAAAAAGCAGCCACAGCCAATACGTAAAACAAATGTAATAAACAAACTTTATTAACAAAAATCGGGAATGGGCTAGATTTAGGCTACATGCCATAGTTTGTTGACATTTAGTTTACATTATAAAATTATCTTTCTCTAATACCATTTTAGTCATTCTTCAACTCCAGAGAGAACTTGAGATCAGGTGGGGGGCGTTGAGTGAAAAGTAGTTCATCCCAGGGGTAAGTAGTAAGTGAGAGCATTGTCTGTACAATTTGTTAATGAAATGGACCAAAATTCAGTTTGCTTTTTATTACCGCTATGCACCATGCACCAGCAATTCTAAATATTTTCAGTGATCAAATACTGCTCTCAGTCCAGAAAAACAGCCCCCACGCTCCCCTCAGTAAGTCATTACTTGAGAGGAGTAACATATACTCTTGATTAAATCTTGGAAATAAAATGTAAAAAGATGCAAACACTGATTACTCAAAACCCTCTCATTTCTATCATTAAAATGGCCATACCCCCCAAAACAATTTACAGATTCAATGCTATTCCTAGCAAACTACCAACGATACCTTCCACAGAATTAGAAAAAGATCATTCTAAAATTCATAAAGAACCAAAAAAGAGCCCAAATGGCCAAAGCAACCCTAAGAAAAACAAAACAAAACAAAACAAAAAAAACCCCAAAAACCAGAAGCATCACACTACCCAATTCTAAGCTGTACTACAAGGCTACAGTAACCTAAAACAGCATGACACTGGTACAAAAACAGACAAAGAGACCAATGAAACAGGTTAGAGAACCCAGAAATAAAGCCACACTTAAAGCCATCTGATCTTCAACAAAATTGACAAAAACAAGCAATGGGGAAAGGACTCTCCAATAAATGGTGCTGGGATAACTGGCTAGCCACATGTAGATTGAAACTGGACCTTTTCCTTTCACCATGTACAAAAATCAATTCAAAGATTAAGTCAATTTCAATTGATTAAAGACTTAAATGTAAAACCTAAAACTGTAAAAACTCTAGAAGAAAACATAGGGAATACAATTCTGGACATAGGCCCTTGCAAAGAATTTATGTCAAAGACTCCAAAAAGAATTGCCACAAAAGCAAAAACTGACAAATGGGACATCATTAAACTAAAGAGCTTCTGCACAGCAAAAGAAACTATCAACAGAGTAAACAGATAAATATAGAATGGCAGAAAATAGTCACAAATTATGCATCTGACAAAATTCTAATATCCAGAACTGAAAAGGAACTTAAACAAATCAACAAGCGGTGGTTCATGTCTGTAATCCCAGCACTTTGGGAGGCCAAGGTGGGTGGATCACCTGAGGTCAGGAGTCTGAGACCGGCCTGACCAAAATGGTGAAACTCCGTCTCTACTAAAAATACAAAAATTAGCCAGGTCTGGTGTTGGGTGCCCGTAATCCCAGCTACTCAGGAGGCTGAAACAGGAGAATCACTTGAACCTGGGAAGCAGAGGTCACAGTGAGCTGAGATCACGCCCACTGCACTCCAGCCTGGGTGAAGAGAGTGAAACCTCATCTCTAAATAAATAAATAAATAGATAAATAAATAAATAAATAAAAGCAAAAACCAAGCAGCTCCATTAAAAATGGGCAATGGATATGAACAGACACTTCTCAAAAGAAGATACACACATGGCCAACAAGCATACGAAAAACTGGCCAACCTAATCATTAGAAAAATGCAAATCAAAACTACAATGAGATACCACCTCACACCAGTTAGAGTGGCTATTACTAATTAATTCAAAAATTAACAGATGCTGGTGAAGTTGCAGAGAAAAGGGAACACTTTTACACTACTTATGGGAATATAAACTAGCTCAGCCACTCTGGAAAGCATTTTAAAGATTTCTCCGTGAACTTAGAACTACCACTAGACCCAGCAATCATATTACTGGGTATATACCCAAAGGAATATAAATCATTCTTCCATAAAGACACATGCACACGTATGTTCATCAGCACTTTTCACAATAACAAAGACATGGAATCCACCTAAATGCCCATCAACAGTGGATGAGATCATGTCTGTTGCAGCAACATGGATGGAGCTGAAGGCCATTATCCTAAGTAAATTAATGCAGGAACAGGAAACCAAACACTGCACATTCTCACATATAAGTGGTAGCTAAAAACTGAGTACAAATGGACAAAAGAAGGGAACAATAGACACCAGGGCCTATCTGAGGATGGAAGGTGGGAGGAGGGTGAGGATCAAAAAACTATAGGGTACTATGCTTATTACCTGGGTAATAAAATAATCTGCACACCAACCCCCCTAAATATGCAATTTACCCATGTAACAAACCTGCATATGTACCCCTTGAACCTAAAATAAAAGTTGGAAGCAAAACAAACAAAAATAAACCAAAACCACCTCATTTGTAAAATTCTGAATTTGGAAATTCTCTCATCTCGTCACAGCCACCTTTTCTTTCTCTTTTCTCTTATACTCAATGAACCAATTCTTTATACTGATGCTGTCTTTAATTCCTCGAATCACTTTTTAGTTTCCTCGAGGTCCAGCCCTACTTGAATCAGTTACGCACTACTTTATGTAGTTATTTTTTATTAGCATCAAGAAGTTCCTTTGATCTATTGTTATCTTTACTTCTGTACCTACACTTCACTGCTGGGAAAACACTATAGTATATTTTCTCTGATCTCAGTACTGGGTGGTTGAGTGTTACCAGAAAAAGTCACAAAATTGTGCCAATTGGCTCAACTAGAAATTTCTGGCTCTATTATTAGTATCCACTTGGATGGAGTTGCCCAGAAATTCTTCAGTTCACCTCTACTTGACTCTTCCTTATGCTATTCTCTTTGGGAAGGATTCCAAAGCCTTTCCAGTCTACACATCAGACACCACCTACCTTACGAGATGACTCTGCATCTTCCTCTGAGAAGATATAGGACATCTGTTACAAATTCTCTAAAAATTCTTCCTTTTTCAAACAACATTTCTCAGTATAATCACCATTCTTTCTTTTTTGGATGAATTGACCTGTCTTTCTAAGACATGCTATTGAATTTATTTCCTTCCACCTCTAATGTCATTACCCACTGCCCATTAACATGACACATGTTGGAGAATATATTTTCCCTCATTTCTTTCCCTTGATATCCATTACAGGTTCTAATAAGGCAGAAACTGCATTTTGTTAATATTTTAATCACATACAATTTCTAGCGGAGTTGTTTGCACATAGCCAGTGTTAAATAAGAATATGTTAAATAGAACTGACCAATGAGGAAGAAATATATTAATCACCTTTTATCGGTGACCACAGAAAACTTTCCTGCTTCCTGATTGTACTAAATTACTATATCCTAAAAATTCATCTACTTCAGTCTAGAAGTTTTATAGATGAAGAACCTGAGGACCAGATAATTCAAGTGATCTGACCATATTCACATAGTTAATAATTTAATCTGCCCATATTCACATAGTTAATGAATTAAGTACTTGGAACTTAAGTCTGCAAAGTTCCTGCCCACACTTTTTACTTTACCAGGCAGCCTGTTTATGAGTAAGTCAGAGTTTGAATAAAGTTTTTGGACCTTGGAATAATTCTGTGTTATTAATGGTAAAGATATTTTCGTTATCTGCATTACGATTAACCAACACAGTATTTGGTTTCTACATTACTTCAAAGGTTTAGAACTGAACATGCACATCAACCTAGCAAAAACATCTTATAAATATTTAAGGATAGGTGGAGTCACAAAGACATATTCAAGCTCTTTTCACAATAATTTTCACTCTTAGTCTCTTTTTATAGCTTTTAAAAACATAGGCTTAGGCCAGGCACGGTGGCTCATGCCTGTAATCCCAGCACTTTGGGAGGCCAAGGCGGGCAGATCACGAGGTCAGGAGTTCGAGACCAGTCTGACCAACATGGTGAAACCTTGTCTCTACTAAAAATACAAAAATTAGCTGGGAGTAGTGGCGCACGTCTGTAATCTCAGCTATACAGGGGGCCAAGGCAGGAGAATCACTTGAACCCAGGAGGCGGAGGTTGCAGTGAGCCAAGATCGGGCCACTGCACTTCAGCCTGGGTGACAGAGAGAGACATCATCTCAAAAAAACAAATAAAGAAACAAATAGGCTTAAAAAAGCACAAGTGCTATTATTTCTGATCTGATAACAATGCTGTAAAATAGGAAAACAAATCCTCATTTTTCAGATGAAGAAAATAGGTCTCAGATATTTTAAGTAACCATGAAATCATACATATTACCATGACTTAAACTATGGGTATATGTCTTTAGGTTTTATGTAAAGGGCATTGTACTTTGCAGTAAAAGTCCCTGTTTTTTTGCCATTATCATTTCTAACTGCCATAATAATACATATCCTTGTAGGGTTTTATATCTAATTCTCCTTGCTGAAAATACTTTTTAAAAGATTTGAAATACCAAAAATGAGGCAGAGAAAGTGGTAAAAATTTCCATGGGAAGGTATATATTAAAAGAAAGTGTCTTGTATTATGATTTATCTATTTGGGAATTTTAAAAGATCCTGGTGGCAATCCTACTTGTACGAGGGTAACCAACAACTTACTCTGAATTTTTATTTAGTCCACTCCCAAGTAATGAACACAGGAAGGAAGAAATGACGTTATAAGAGACATAAAAGTATATTGTGCTTACTTTTAAAATCTTCATATATAGCTTTCATTTCAATTGAATGAAAGACAATGTGGACAATTGTGAGAAGAGGTTATTCCTGTAAAGTTGAAATATATTTTTAGTTCAATGGGCATCCAATTCTGCATCTTTAAAGTAACATGGAAACTAAGTAATGGATATGCAATTACACTAGCCAATATAATTATTATAATGCAAATAGCTATTACTATAAAAGTAATATTTCATTGCTTATTGTGTTTTCTTTCTCTAGACAATAGGTCTATTTTCCAATAAAAGAACAATAGCTAACAACACACACCAAATATGTGAATGAAGGAAAGCATACAATTACATTTTTAAACAAAATATATATTGTATACTCCAGATTTTCTCTATGATTATAGTGCTTTTAGTGAATTCCCCTTAAGTGCTCAAAAATAGATATTTTTACCTGCATGGTGGTTATGGTTTTTTTTTTTAATCAAGCGTTTAGACACTTCTAATTTAGTGATATGACTCCGAGAGATAAATATCTTTTACGTCAAGTATACCTGTATAGATGACTTGTACTTTTGCTTTGAAATTCTGGAGAACAGCCATAAAAATTATGGTTGACAGATATTCACCCCCCAAAATTACAAAATTCAAAAAAAGCCAGATAAATGTCAGCAGCAGATGGAAGTGTAATAGACCAGCAAGTAGCACATATTCTGACTTTATAAAAATAATCAGGAAAAAATCTGGAAAACTTATTAAAAGTAGACTTTGACTCTTTACTAGAGTTTCCTGTCTATGTTGCTATAATTGGAATTTTCTAGACATAACCAAATGATAGTATTGAATACAGGCAAGGTAATATGGTGTTACTTTTTTGTATCCAGTTATACAAAAGATCCAATTATACTAATATTCAGCCCTATGGAATCGAGAAAAGAGGGAAATGGACATTTTATTATTTAAATACTGAACTATTTAAAGTTGTATTAAATTTTAAAGCATAAATCTCTAAAACCTGACATCTAAAAATCCAATCAAAATCTATGAATTAGAAATAAGCTTGCTCTTTCTTTTCCCCATTCTTAAAACAGCCTCACTCTCTTACTCTTTAGCAACAGAAGCAATATTGCTGCTCTACAAATTCTTTATATAATGGATTTCAAAACTGAGACTCATGATCTGTGTTTTCCTTTTTTATGCTATCTTTTTAAAATTCCATACACGCAAATTTTTTGAGAGAATAAAGCAAAAGGTATTACTATAGTAGAATTTATAGATTTAGATAGATTTCAAGAGGCTATGAAAAGCATGTACTTACGTCTCCTACGTTAAACAAACTGAAGTGTTCCACATCGATGGATTCTAGAAGTTGGGACTATGATGTTGCTAAAATGATTTTTATAGTGACATTGAGTCATAAGCCAAATGGTGACTGGATAACATGCTAATTTTACTCCTGTAAATGGGACACATGAAATGAGACTCACAGACTTGGAGGAAAGAATGGAGAGAATGTCATTAGCATGCACTGAAGACTTCTCTTTAATCTGAATACTATGATTTAAGTAAGAAAGAAAGATAGAAAAAGAAAGAAAATTCCCCTTATTCCACTGTTACAAAACGCAATTATACAACTTCTCAACTTTGACTTTGTGAAATCATGGGAAGCATGTTTAAAGCCCTTGAGTAGTTTACTACGTGTTTAATGCTTGGTCTACATTAGTATTTCTGAATTGTTTTGGTCTCAGATATCTATTACATGCTCAAAAATTATGAAGAACTCCACTTAGCTTTCATTTGCCAGGGATAAATCTACCAATATTTAACATATCGGAAATTAGAAAAATTGAAAAAATTAAATAATTACTAATTCACCTCAAATACTATTAATAAACCCATTACACTTTATATAAATATTTAATGACAATAAAATATATTCTCCAAAGCAAAAAAATAAATAAATAGTGACAAGCGTGGCATTGATTTACATTTGCAACTCTCTGGCTTAATGTTGCAAATGTCTGGTTTAATAAAAGACATCTGGCTTCTCAAATTTGCTTCTGCATTCAGTCTCTCTTAATATGTTGTCTTAGTTGAAGTATATAAGAGAATCTGGCTTAACAGAGATATTATTATTTTAGCTGGAAAAGTGAGGAGAATTTTAATAGCTTTTTCAGATAATTGTGGCTTTTTATCAATGTGGAATCTAAAGTCATATGAATATGCTTTCCATACTCTGCCTTTAGAAAGTTCCCATTGTCTTTCTTGCAGTTTGAAATGGTCTTTTGTCCACATATTTTTTTCCTTTTTTTTTTTAAACTATCAGACATTGGTCATCTGGAAAATATTGGTACACTGGGTTATGTAAATTTCCCAAATGGTAGCACATTTAATTATACAATATCACATTTGTTAGCAATACCACCTATCTCATCTGAAAAGTCTTTAAGAATTGGGAAACTGACAAATTCACAGGGGCAGATAATAAGTTTTCCAAAATTATAACTTTTGTTTGAAAGTTCAGATTTTTTCACTGGCAAAAGATACTGTTAGATTTTGCTCTCCTAGAAGTGACAAGGTCACTTTCTTCATTTTCAAGAAAATCTCTGCCAAATGTCCAAGTTTGTACAACTGCAGTTTGCCTGTCACTTCTTCTTTCAAGTAAAAATGGTGATCCAACAAAATAGTGTCTAGCTCAGCTCTCAACCCACAGTTGCACAAGGTGCTTTACTTGTGATAACCAAGTGTTTGATACACAACAGAAGTGCTTCATGAGATGTCCCATTTCATCACACGAATATTAAAAAGATGTGTACTCGAAGGTTGAGATTCAAGAAAATGAATTTTTTTTTTTACTGCTCCATCAAGTACATTCTTAGGTAAGCCTGGCACTAAAAGAAATACTAGTTGTGAGTGTGTAGGGGTGCAGAATACATAGATCACTAGGAGAGTTTGGTGCCGCTGACTTGCTTAGTGCAAAAGTGCCAGCAGTTCCCTGCCCACCCCCGCCTTGCTTTTGCATAATTCCTGCAAATGTCAGCCTTTCCCCCCCCTCCCCAAATGGCAACATTACTTCATTTCTCCTCTCAAACTTTCTTTAGATCAGACTCAAATACTTTTTCCCCCCTACAATGTTTAACACATAAAAACTTTAAAATGAGAAACTTCACCTGTAAATGTTTAAAATGTTAGAAGTATTATCTTTCTTTAGAAAATATTTTTATAATTGGGCAATGAGTGACCTCAAAGCTACTCATAAATCCTTATACTAATTTCTGGTTTACCCCTATACTATCCCTAATAAAAACAATTTCTTTTTTTTTTTTTTTTCTATGCTCTTTAAATTTTATTTGTATCTTGCTTTCTTACTCCCCATAGCAAATCTTACCTAATAACTTTGTGGAGACCAGAGTCATCATTCATCTTCAATCCTCTTTCTTTATTGTCACATTTAAAGTCATCCATCTCTTTATTCAAGAGTCCTTTTGCCCACCATTATTAATACCTGACTGGTGCTCTTGATTCTGTCTTCTCCTCCATTATCATTCCTTCAATTCTGCCTCTTGCTTCTGGAGTCACGATTTTACTTCAGCTATTTCTTTAACATCTTTCAAATTGCTTACATCTTCCCTGTTATAAAATCTTCTATCTTTTAACTCTGTATTTTTTTCTCTTTCTTTCTTTTTCTTCTCTTTCTTTTTGAGACAGGGTCTCGCTTTGTTGCCCAGGTTGGAGTGCAATGGAACAATCAATCCTGTATGTTCTTTAAGACATTCATCTCTTTTTATTTCATTTACTCCCATATAGGAAAAGAGGTAGATACTAGTTTTCCCTGCTTCCTCTACACTGCTTTATTTTTAATTCCCCTTGTAATTTTACACATATATCTAAGTAGAACTGTTTTCTCAGGAACTATCACTACAGATTATTCACCAAATGCAATTCTTTTCACAATAGTCATTCATATCAAATTGTATATAGCATTTTACACGGCAGTTTTTTAATTGTTCTTTTTGTTGTTGTTGTTGTTGCAATTTTGCTCTTGTTGCCCAGGCTGGAGTGCCGTGGCACAATCTTGGCTCACCACTACCTCTGCCTCCCGGGTTCAAGCGAGTCTCCTGCCTCAGCCTCCTGAGTAGCTTGGATTACAGGCATGCACCACCATGCCCAACTAATTTTGTTTTTTTAGTAGAGATGAGGTTGCTCCATGTTGGTCAGGCTGGCCTCGAACTCCCGACCTCAGGTGATCCACCCACCTCGGCCTTCCAAAGTGTTGGGATTACATGTGTGAGCCACCGCACCTGGTCTTTTTTTTTTTTTTTTTTTTGAAATGTTCTTCTCCCTTGGCTGCCGTAGTTACTGTAGACTTTTGGCTGCCTTATAATCTTCCTGTACTTCTTGCTTTTCCCACTACTTATCTCTTAAAATAAATCTTTATTCTCCTTTTTGTTTTTTATGCTCTTTCTGGTAATCCCATTTACCCTAATAACCTTAACTGCCACCTGTGAATTGATGCTACTCAAATCTATAATTCCGGGGGCTGATATTTTTTTAAAGCTTCACTACAGAATTTCTACTGACTGTTAAATATTCCACTATGGATGTCTTTAAAATCTCAAATTCAGTATGTTCAAAATGGGATCTCTTGATTTCTTCATCTCCACCTCTGCTCACAAAACTGTTCATTCTTTCTATTATTTTGTTTGTATCTCCACTTTTTTCTCAGGTATCAATAATAGAAATCTCAGAATTGTATTCAATTACTCCCTTTCACTAATTCTTCACATCCAATAATTTCTCAAAACTCAGTAGTTAATTCCATCTATTCAATCTCTCTTAAATATTCTTCATTCCATTCTTCTGGCAACAACCTTCATCATCTCTTTCTTGACTGTTGCAACTGTAGTCTAACAACTCAACTTATCTAAATCTCTTCTCCAATTTACCCTTTAAAGGGTCAGCAGAATTAACTTTATAAAACATAAATAGTGCTCAAAAATCTTCAGTTGTTCCTAGGAACCCACAAAACATAGTTCAATTTTTTGATGGCCCTTAAGAGTTTGAAGCCAATCTACTTTACTAGCCTCGTTTCTCACAGTATCCCTCCTGTTCATAATAAGGTCCAATCACAGCAGCACATGTAATACTCTTGGTATTCTCCTGTTGGTCTTCTCAACCTTTTTCATCTTTCCAGTTACACTCTTTCTCCATCTCCAGGTAGAATAAATAACTTTGTTATTGTGTTGATTTAATTCTGTCTTATATGAGAATTTATTATTTTCATGTTGACCTCTTTATATTATATTTCTGGGTCTTTGATTTTCAAATCCACTGCAACATATGGCACAGAGTTTTGTATTTTGCTCCTAAATCCACAAAACGTATTGTGTAGATTGTTCTTGATTATCTTACTCAAGATCCTCCTTGTGTAAGTAACTTGATCGAGGTCATACAGTTGTTCATAGTAAAACTAGGCTAAGAGAGCTTGTGTCCTTATTCTTACCCAGTTCATTTTCCTGTCTAATAAAATATTTTTTATAAACTTAAGAAGATAAATGCAATTATGATCTCTAGCACTTTCTTTTCTTATATTCACAATGATAACAAAATACTTTTTAAAATAACAGCAATAGAAAGCACCTAGAGTCCTGAGTAATCTAACCTATTTTCACTTTGTTGATGGCTCCCTCTTTTAAGTTTTTCATCAAATATATAAGATGAAAGTAGCAAATTAAAGCATAGAATAATTTGTTCTGTTCTCTTGTTACGGCTTTTTATATCATTTATTCATTTATTTAATATTTCAAAGGGATTATAAATCATTTATCTGCTAATCTTTGCAATACCCCTGCTGAGACAGTCAATTAGCTGCAGAAGTACTGCTGGTTGGCAAGTGACAAGTAATATTACTTGCACATTACAAAACAAGAAACAAAAACAGAGAGAGGTTAATCGACTTGACCAATGTCTTACCCAGTCAGCGGCAGTACTGACGTCAGAAAGGGGAGCAGGGTTTATTCATATCAAAATCACAAATGCATTAAGGGCCTGGGGCTAGTGGTGTTCTTTGTTATATAACACTTGCCAAATTATTTATTTTATCTTTTCCTTGACTGGCTCTGTAAGAGTCCAAAGAAGAAAGATACTTTTAAAATCTATAACCTCTCATTTATCTATGACTTTTCCTCCTATGTTAAATAAATATTTAGATTTTCAAAGGATTTTAGAACACTGACACAGTTCTCAAAATAACTTATATTAACTTTTCATCTTTAAAATCACAAAAAGGATCTAGTCAAGCTCAGTAACATTTTCTGGTCTGTTCCAAGATATAATACTGACCATAAGAATAACAAAACTGCTACGATTTAATAGTGCCTTATGAATAATAGCAATAACAAAAATAAATATCACATATGTGCCAGATATCACACTCTTTGTATATTGAGTATATAA